GCCAAAGGAGGCTGGGATGGGCGAGGTGGAGGTGCCGGAGGAGGCCGGGATGATAGAGGGGGTGGAGGGAGGGATAGGGATGCGGGAGGGAGGGACAGGAGTGCCGGAGGGGGTGACCGAGAAGGTAGCGAAGGGGACACTAGAGGTGGTAGTAGAGAGGGACGAGGGGGTTGTGGAGGACGAGAGGACGTCAGAGATGACGGATGACGATGTAGTATTCGTGTCGGAGGGGGCGACGGAGGTGCCGAAGGGTAAGAAGCGTGCTAATGACGTGCCAAAGCTGATGGTCGGTAAGATATCGAGATTACCGTCATAGTACATTGTTTGCCCATACACGACCGAGGCGAAGAGAAGGGGGTTTGTGGATGGGACGTTCCCCAATCTTTTTCGCGACATCGACCCGGTCAGACAGAAGGCGTTCGATGATTGGTTCAAATCCCTTAAGTCCGAGTATGTATTTTATGATTTTGCTACTCTTTTTTTTTGTATTTTTCGTAACTTTTTTTCATTTTTCAGAGATAGTTATACCATCGGCTGTATGACCATGCCCAACGCTAAAAAGTGGTTCGAAGATGTACTGAAAAACTCAAAGTAAGTGCTATTATTCTTATTCAAATAAATAATCGAAATCAATAATTAAGGCTGTGTCTGGTAGAAATTTTTTGGCAGATGAAAAGTTATTTTTGTGCCCTTTTTTTCCACAATGGGTCCCACATCTCTCACAATTGGTCAAAGATTGCAGCTTCCAACGGTCACTTTTTTCCTTCCAACGAGTATGATTCTGCTTTTAAGCTACACCAGACAGGCCCTAAATATGAAATAATTAATTATTTACTTAACCAATTAATATAGTTAATTAAAGAAAAATTTAACCAATTATACATTTATTATACTTAACCTATTTTTTTATTCAAATATGCTGTTAGAAAGAGTAATTAAACAATGTGATTAAAATTACATCCGATTTAAATTGAGAAAATATAAAACGTATTATAAATAGAGAATACATATGATTTATATAGATACTACACATTCGTCGAGTCATTGTTTAGTGGGATCTGACTTGTACAAAATCGACGTGTATGCCCTGTAGCGCCGCACCTCCCGCACTTACGCGGTTGTGAAAACTCTCCTGTAGATGGTATTCTAGACGTCCGTCTACGACCAGGAGTACGCGATCGAACTTCAGGTGGCAACAAATTATTAAGTGTTACAATATAATCAGGAACTTCCCACTCGACTTCATTTGGTAGAGGAAATATAGTTTCGGCATACGCTGCTCTCCAAAAATCAGCCATGTAATAATGACTGCATAAGCTGTGTGGTGGAAATCCTTTATACATAGCTACTGCGACAGCATGCGCACATGGAAAACTCTTCAACTGAAATTGTCTACACGTGCAGGTATTGTCATTCAAGTCTACAATGTATCCAACATTACGCCCACATCTCACGGAGAAGCGAAATTGATCTAGTGGTACCACAAATAGAGCTTTTGCCACTTTCAGAGTTTTGAATAGTCGATCTTCTTGTGCCGGAGTTAGCACACTCGTGCAATTCTGGGATTCCTCACGTCGGTCATAAAACCACTGTTGCAACTTGCTATGAATATGTTCAATCATTGCGAGAATAGGTAACTCTCGATCCTTCTTGAATAATGCATTGAGCGACTCCACATTATTCGACGTCATCATGTTGTATCGATGTCCTGAAAAATGTGACCGTGTCCAATGTTCGACCCCCATAATTGATAGATATTTCCATGCACTTTCTGATTTATGTTCTATTTCGCCCATGAACTTCGTAAACTCTTCAAAGTTGTAAGCTTATGCAACTCTCTTAAACAATGCAACGATGCTACTGCCCCGGTACCTAGTCTTCAGGTTGCCCTAAATGTGGTACATGCAATAACTATGATGTGCTTCTGGAAAAACTTCGGCTATACCATTTATTATCGACTGTCCCCGGTCAGTCACAAATGCAATGTTCTCGATGTCCCCAATTACTTCTCTCAGCTTCGTGAAGAACCAACACATTGCTAGACCAGTTTCTCCATCGACAATGCCAAATGCAAAAGGGTAAATTTGGATGTTGACATCTTAACATGTAACAATAATCAACTTCCCTTCATATCTAGCTTTTAGGGCTATACTATCAACTAGAATTAGAGGTCGCGTCGCATTTCGAAAACTTCTAATGCATTGTCCAAGAGCCATAAAAAAAATACTTGAAGCGATTCTGCCCATCGGTTTCAATAAAAAACATCGAGTCAGAATTAATTCTCACCATGTTGTGGCAATACCTGGCCAATTTGGCATAACTCTCCTCTGTTAAACCCATTAAATCTTCCAATGCACATTCTTTTGCCTTCCAGGTCTTCTGGTAACTTATAACTACCCCATACTCCCGACGAATGTCGTTGATGATATCTGTAGGTCTGTAAATCGTCCGTGGGTTCTGAAATTTGTGCATTATCTGTCGACCAATAAACCATGATCGAGCTTGCCTGTGATCATTTTAACGAATACTCACTTCACAGATATGTTCCTGTGCATACTTGCGAACTACAAAAAACTCATTTGTGTCCATTTTTGTAGCTCTCAAACGCCAACTGCCATTGTTGTCCACACAAATAATTGTGTATGTAGACTTGTTTGATTTTTTTACCTTAAACTCAAAATTATGTTTCATTGCAATTCGGTGCACAGCTTCTTGCAAATCTCTTTTCGTGTCAAACAATTGATCGACATGTAAATCTTCATCATCAGGAACTACAAACGAACAATTAGAAGACCGTACACTCGGCCTAGCATGTGAACTCCCACCAGCCTCATGTCTCTGTCTGGACAAAGCAATCAAATCCTGATTTGTAAATGGCCTTTCATCCTTGTTGTCTCGAACTTCCTCGTAAATCCTTTGTGTAACGGTGACATCATGGCGAGTAGCATCTGTTCCGGGAATAACCACATCATCATCACGAGCAATCTCAACAGTATCCCAAAAATCATTCTCGTTACGATCCTCTCCATCAAAAATTTCATGTTCACCCTCGGGGACATTTTTCTTCAACAAAGTTACGCAAATAGGAGTTATCTTTCGACCTTGGTTTAATTGAATTACATGCTTTATTTGCACTTCAGAAGTAACCTTCAAAAGTGGAATCGAAATTATTGAATGCTTCTGAAATAAAAATCCCAATTCCATATCGTAGTGAGAGGAATCGACTTAAGCATGTTTTGTATTTCATTGCACATTTTCGTAAACGACGTATTTTTTGTTATCGAAATAGCAGCAACCCCTTCTCCTTCACTTGTACATTTTCATTCCCACTGACCATTTTCTTTCGTTTGAAATTCGTCGAGTAACAGATTGAGACACATGCTTTTGCCATACCTGCATTACGAATTAAACAATTATCAGCGACATCATAGTAATCATAAAAAATATACTTAAGCTCGTTGTTCTGGAAGTGTTCCATAGTTTTTTACACTATAGAACACAATTAATAACAAAAAAAGAATCAGTAAGAAAATTTAATTCGATTATTTATTTGAATAATTTGAATTGATATTTAATTCGATTTTTCATTTCACTATTTCTTTAATTAATTATCTTAATTCGATAAGTAAAAAAAATATTATTCAATTTAATTTATTCTTTAAATATTTTGTTCATTACGTATATTATTCATTTCATATTTAATTATTCTATTTCGACTATTTCTTTGAATAAAAATAATAATATTTAATTCGATTTTTCATTTCACTATTTCTTTAATTAATTATCTTAATTCGATAAGTAAGAAAATTATTATTCAATTCAATTTATTATTTAAATATTTCGTTAATTATGCATATTATTCATTTCATATTTAATGATTCTATTTCGATTATTTATTTGAATAAAAATAATAATATTTAATTCGATTTGTCATTTAAACATTTCTTTAATTAATTATCTTAATTGGTTAAGTAAAAAAATTATTATTCAATTTAATTTATTTTTTAAATATTTCGTTAGTTATGTATATTATTCATTTCATATTTAATTATTCTATTTTGATTATTTATTTGAATAAAAATAATAATATTTTATTCAATTTTTCATTTTACTATTTCTTTAATTAATTATCTTAATTGGTTAAGTAAGAAAATTATTATTCAATTTCATTTATTCTTTACATATTTCGTTAATTATGTATATTATTGATTTCATGTTTAATTACTCTATTTCAATTATTTATTTGAATTAAAATATATTAATATTTTCATTTAAGTATTTCTTTAATTAATTATATTAATTGTTTCCATAATTAATTACTAAACATATATTTATTATTAAACATATATTTATTATTTATTTCGTATATTTAATTACTAAACATATATTTAAGTCAAAAAAATTAAATTTCTATTTAATCTATCTTTAAATATTTCGTTTATTATCTTAATATATATATTATTTATTTCTTATTTAATTACATTTTTAACATAAAAATTAAAATTAATTCAGAAAATTAAAAAAAGAAAAATTTGGGTCCGGTCCGGTCCGGCCAAATGGTCCGTATGGTCCGTAACTGACCATAATTTGTTCCGACGATCAGTGTTGGCCTTCACTTCGGCTCTAATATTATTTTCTCTACCATTTAAAAAAAATACGACTTCAATAAAAACAAAATTTAATATTAGGAAAAGATACTTATCGAATTAAAATGTTGAAATTTAACGAAATATTTTTGTTGAGGTTGATAACTGATAAGTTTATGAAATTTTGAGGTTGAAGTGGATGAAAAATGAAAGAGTTTTTATCGTATTAGAGTAAACTGATGAAAAAAGTGACTTCGTTTTCAAATCTCAATTGAAAGGTGTTTGGATTTTAATTTGTAACTTAAGGATATTTTGGCCTTTTTAACATATTTCTATTTTTTTAATATTTTTGTCTTTTATACAAGAATAGTGTCAATTTTTTTTTTTTTTTTTTGTTAAATAGGAAAATTGGTTGTTTGACATGGTTAATATTAAAACTACCCTCTTCTTCCTCAGTCTCTGACTCGGTTCCCACCAAATCACCGGCCGACAAACAATCCGGCCGTGTTCTACCCTTCCCGTTAGCTTTTTAGGTAAATCATTTTCATTTTTCATTTTTATGTTGTTGCAATTTCAATTTCATTTTTATGTTGTTGCAATTTCAATGTATTTATTATTTGAGTTTATCTTACGACGTTGTATGTTATTTTGGATCATTGCTGAAAATTATTTTTGGGTTTACGGTTTTTAAGTCTTTACAATGTTGTATTCTCATATTATTTGACAATTTTTCATCTTTTGATGGCATATTTTCATTCAATAGATGGACTTATTATCTATTACAGGTTTTACTAATTTCTCAAAATCTCTCAATTCGTGAAATCGATTCCCTTTTACTGTGGTATACCTTGTGATCTTGTTTCATCCATGACAATCACTCACTCTTGTTTTGTTCTTATCATGTAGTAATTTTACACAATTCCCACCACATGCTTGATGAAACATTGCAATGCTCTTGATAAAAATAATTTCGAGGTAAGTAAGGCGTTTATAAACTATGAAAACCTGTTGGCAGCAATTGTAATAACTTGTTGCATTTTTTATAGTATTGTGCATTGTTTTGGTTGATTTTCCTTTTGGGTACTCAAGTCTTGTCCTCACTGGATTGAAATTGTAAACCTGCCGCTGGTTCAAAGGCTTGGAATTTGGAAGTGAAATACTAATCGTCATAGATGAAGCTTGTGGTTGTTTGAACGATTTCGTTTTCTCAAATTTTCTAATAAAATATTATATAAATGATTCTATTCTATTTTTTAAATACATATTCGAACTTGTTATATTTCTCTCCTTGTGTGTGTATGTATGATATGATATAGCCCCAAAGCTTTTCTGCATATTTTGCCAATGGAATTTTCTGAATTAATCTAATAAATATGTCATGATCATTTATCTAATTCATATGATGTTTACCACAAATTTAACATTGAGAATGATTTGCGCACAGCACAATTAAAGGAAATTCCTAAGGCTTTGTCAATGTGGTTAAGCTTCTATTTTACTTTAATCTAGGAATCTATAATAAGTATTATATTCTAATAATAATTCAAACAAATAAAAGATCCCATCTGTTTACATAGCCAGAAGCTGTCTTAGTTCATAGTTCTAACATTAGGTGCTCCCGTTACACACTATCGTAGAATGGAAAACAACAAGAAGGTGAAGGCAAGTGGCAACACTTCTCACTGCTCTGCTACTGTTTTTGTTGCCAATTTACCCTTTTCTTTCACCAGTACTCAGGTACAAATCTCTCTCCTTTTTTCTCTAGATACACATATACGTGAGTGTGTGTATTTTTTATTATGGTTAAATGCTTATTGTTGTTGTCATAAAATTGTTTACGTGAATAATTAAGCTTGAAGAAACATTCAGTGAGGTTGGACCAGTTAGACGGTGCTTTATGGTCACCAAGAAAGGTATGCTTTCACAAACTATTATTTTGAACTGACATAACATAAACTATGGTACTATTTATTAAAAATACTATTTACACAAGTTTTTTCTTGATGTGAACATTGCACTAACTCACTATACGAAATCAAATACGTTTTCATTTGATATGACACTATTGTTTTCTTCATAAGTTTTAGCAGCTAAATGTAAACTTTAATTACATGTATATATCAGGGTCCAGTGTACACCGAGGCTTTGGCTTTGTTCAATTGTAAGTATATTTTCTTCACTGATTCTTCACCCTTCTGTAAAATTGTGAGGAAATGCCAACAGCAATGCTCATTTTTAATGCAAGTTTAGTGCCACTGTTGAAGATTCTCACCGTGCAATTGAGCTGAAAAATGGCTTGATCAATGGAGGTAGAAAAATTGGAGTGAAACATGCTATGCATCGTGCTCCACCTGAGAAATGTCGAGCAAAAGAAAATAGAGGTCTGTAGTTTCATTTCCTTTTCCTGAATTTTTGACCCAAGCTTACAATATCTGCTTCTACATTTACTACATCGTACAGATGTCAATACGTTCTTGAAGTTAATTTATGCTACTGTTCTATGCCTTATCCACTTGTAGTTCACACTGAAGATGTTATTGAGACCGACAAAGATGTTTTAACCACAGAGATAGAAAAACTCAAGAAGGAACCACCAAACTCTCATTTAGAAGGTATAAAACTTTGATGAGATAGCTAACATATGATTTTCTCAAAATTTGAATTTAAGTTTACAATATGAGCTACTACATTTGCTAGAACGTAAAGATGTAAATACATTCTTGAATTTTATTTGATGCTACCTTGTTATGCCTTAACCACTTGGTAGTTCATATGGAAGATGTTGTTGAGACAAAGAACGACAAGAACATTTCTGCCACATCAGAAGAAAAGCTTGGGAAGGCACCAAACTCTCAAGTGGAAGGTACCTAACTACTAAAAGCTAACATATGCCCCTAGACCATTTATATATTTTTTTATACTCTAATATATATATTTTTAATTTTAAATAGGTAAATCCAAGAAGAAACAAAAAGGAACTGTGATTTCTAGTAGTCTGCCTGATCAAAGAAGTGGTACAGAAAAAACAAAGGTACCATATTATTGGCTTGATATTATTATATAGACAGGATTATAAAGTCTATTATTTCTCTCGCAATAAATTTGTATCCTAAAATGCCACATAGGGAACTCACCAAATATCATCAACTCCATCTCTTAAATTGTAGTTTGGCTTGTAATGATTTTGCTCCTTAGATGTCCCCTGAGATGTAAAATAATTTCTTTTTATTCACATTTTTTGTCATTTCTTGATCATACTATCCTTTGTTAGCTTCTTTTTCTTTTATATCTTTGATTTCAGATTGATGGATATGTCCATACCAATCTCGTTTATACTATTAGAATATATCTATTAACTTATAATTGACTATCTTCTGTTCTCAAAGTTAGATTAGTAACTTAGTAACCTAAGTCAGTCTGAAAACTGGCTGGCTTTTGCTGATGAATTTCTTGAAACTGATAATTTCTCTGAAGAAGGATTTTCCAACCTTCAATTTGGTAACTTCTATATAAATATGCTGAGTTCTAGTTCTGAAGTACGGTTTTCTTAACTTGTAATATCATATGCTTATAACTAATTCTTGTTCAGAATTATTCACACGGAGCTCTCTACATGCTAATAGGGTCGCTAAGACAGTCATATTTGGTGGTCTTCTTAATGCTAATGTGGCAGAGGAAGTACACCGTCAAGCATGGAACTGTGGCACAGTATGTTCTGTCACCTACCCTCTTCCCAGAGAAGAGCTTCAGCATCATGGTAACTACATTTATTTGTAGCAGCTCCTGATATATGTTAACAAGTTTATTTCTCGCAGTATCCATTATGTGTGTAACAGAACAATGGCTTCAATGCTTCTTGCATTCTAATTCCTCTACATTTAACCATTTTATCACATTCTATCGTTTTCCCATCTTCCATGGCAACAGTAACCATCTTCTCTAAAGCTTTTTATAAGTATAATCTGAGATATATGAAACTGTACTTTCTAAGGACTGCTTCATGTACCATATATGTAAGTTCTAATTGTCTCACCATTCTCTATTGTACTAGTAAAAAATTCAACAACATCCTCATAATATTCTCCTTCCGTACTCCTGTAGGACTCCTAATGCCTTGTTCAGATATCTTTTTGATGGATGTTTTATCAAGGATTCTACTTCAAGCATTACCCTTTCTTGAGAAATACTTTCTATTTTCTAATGCTGTAAGGAGATGAATTATAGAAGAATGTAGTGTCTTCTGATTCTCGGACTCTTCGAAATGGTCGGAGTATGCGTGTCGTGTGTATGGGATATGTATTGGATCCTTCAAGTTTCAACTGGACACTTTACCTTTTTGCTTCTACTTTCTTTTTTCTTTTCCTTTTCTTTCCACTTCTACTCTCTATAGACCTAGTGTCGCTTCCATGAGGGCAGAGAAAGCTACGGCACTAGGTTTTCACTTTTTCTTCTTTCTTTTTTCTTTTTCTTTTCTTATTTTTCCCCCCTTTTCCCTCTATGTATCGGTGGTTTAGGTTTTGTTTGTATAAATTGAAAATGAGTTTCATGTAGTGCTATTTAGTGCTCCACTAAGTCCAAATTACAATCAAGTTCCTCATTTTTTGAGTCCAAATTGCAATCAAGTCTCTCAACTTCCTAATTGAAAACTAAATCCCAAAATTCTATTTTATTCGTCTTAAACTCATTCAGTACTTATTTCTTTCTTTGTGAACAATTGATTTTGGTCTATTTAAAATGACATTTGGAGTTAGTAAAATAACAGAAACTTGAAAGACGCACTCACATACTCGTGTTTGGAATTTAGACTCTTTTTATTCATTTCCCCTATTTTACATTTAAAAAAAATAAAAGATCTGACATACGTACTCGTTCCCGATACCATACCTGAGTCCAAGAATCATAGATAGTGTCAATAGTTAGCATACTAACAAGTAGTTGTCAAGAAAGTGTGGTGCTTGAACTGAATTATTGAGAAGCGTGGGAAATTGGTATTACATACTTTAAATGTTGTAAAACCTATGATGCTCGAACTCTTCAAAAAATGGAGAAGTGTCCGTGTCGATACGACATGACATAGATATTGACATGAGATATGGATCGGATCCTTGGTTTTGCACTTAGACACGGCAGCAAAAGGGAAAAGACAGCGAAAGATGGGGAGCTGGGGATGGCTAAGGAGTTGTAAAAAGAAGCAGTTGCAGGAAAAAAGGAGGAAGAAGAAGACGAGCAGTTGCAGAAAGAAAAAAGATGGAAGGAGTTGAGGAAAACGATTGATATCTACTATAATTTAATGTGGGTTCTGGACCAATTTTTTAATGCGAGCTGTAGATCCAATTTTTAATATACCATATGAGCCTTGTAAAGATGAGTTAATAAAATTATAATTATTTTATTTTGATTAATTGTATGATCCAACCAATTTAATTTAAATCTGTTTTGTATTAAACTTTTTATTTATTATATTTTACCTTTTTCACAAATTCTGTATTATTAATTATAAAACTAGAAATACTTATATTACAATAAAATAAAATAATTGTTCTGTCATTTTTAAAAAAAAAAATATTTTGTTAGACGGAGCCCTATACTCGTATCCTAAATTCGGATCCTTTTTAACGGTATCCTCGTATTTTAATTTTTAAAATAAGAAGAATCTGACTCCTAAATATGTCCCAATCCGACACCCACACCCAATTCCGAGCAACATAGTGTAAAACTTATTAAGTGCTTGTTTTGTAGGAATTTTAAGTTAATTAAAATCAATTTTTTGATCGTTATTTCACTATTCCAGCTGTCATTTTTGAATTTTTTTCTTACTGATAGGACTTACTTTATCTCTAACGGTCAAAAAATCAATTATCAAAATCTCCACTAAACAAGCTCTAAGCATTATGTTCCTTTTACCTCCACTTGTCCAAATACAGTAGTTGAAAAGTATCAACTCCCTTACCTCTTAAAGTTAACAGCCTTAGATTTTCTCTGAAATTATTCATAAATATTTTTGGACGAAGCTTCCAAGTAAAGGTTGGTCGTCAAGATGGAGCAGCAAGGGATAGATGTCATAGGATTGTTGATTCTTGTCCTAGAAAATAGAAATGGATCATTGTTAAGTTTCCCTATGGTTCTGAAATGAAAACATAGAATGAATTAAATGTAAAACCAAATTTTCTATTCTTTGGACACTTTATCATATATTTTGCATCCTTTTCTTGGAAAAATTCCAAGATTCTGTGTTGCCCTCCACAACTCCTGCTTGTGCTCTAATTGCCATGAGTTAGGTGGGAGAGCAGTCCAAATAAAATAATTATAGACGTGGGACTGCTTTCACATGCTTTTCTTTGCTATATTGTTGTTTTCTGGTTTTGGTTACAGGTTTATATATTCTGCTCTTTAGAAAGGCTTGCGAAAGATCTAGTTGCGCAGGATCTTCTAGCAGTAGTGATGGACCGGATGCAATTGAGAAAATTAATTCATGTAGCTGTCTCAAATATCATAGGGCATAAGTCATAGTAGCTTATTGTTGTCTATTGATATCTTTTGTTTTAATTTTGTGATTTATTGAAAATATCTAAGTGATTCCTCGGTTCGGGTTGAAGAAGCAATGTCACTCGATATATATCATCTGCGAACACACGACCCATTCTAGTTTCGTTCAAGTAACGGATTCTAGCCAACATTATCAAACTTTTCAGTTACCTAATTTATAATTAATTATCTTTAGGGGAAAGCTCAAGTATTGTTTTCTCATTTGCTGTTGCTTAATTAGCTGATCAACTTATTGCTCCTGAGAGGATTTGTTTATTTTTTTGTTTGGGATGATGATGTGCCCTCCAATATATGATTATGTAGGGCTAGCTCAAGATGGATGTAAAATGGATGCTTCTTCTGCACTTTTTACAAGTGTAAAATCGGCCCGTGCATGCGTTGCATCAAAAAGAGATTCAGGGGCTATCTATTTTGGCACGGCAGCTTGGTGGAGAGGTAGAGTTACTGTCTTTGAATCAATTTGAATGCATGTGTGAAGCAGTTGACTAACTTATTTTTGCTTCGTGACTAGTGGTCAAACTCTATAAAAAATAAAAAAAAAAAAAAAAGAAAAAAAAAAAGAAGAAGAGAGAATTAAAGATGAAATCACAGTGTAACTTACTGCTTTCCAGTGTTTTAAATGGTAGTCCGGCCGCAATTTGAGTCTGAAGTCTGAACTTCCGCAGGTTTCAAATGCTGCCTACGATTAGTCTGCCACAGATTTTATTTTTGTAAAACTGTGCTTTTTACATTGTGTAACAATGGCTTATCTGCACCTACTAATTATGCATCAAATCACATGAAGCTCAAAGAACTGGTGAAGGTCTTGGTGTGGTAGAGCTTCATAACCTACTGTATTAAAGTAAACGCTACCAAATTGTTTACTCACCTTAGTAAATCACTAGATTTCATTGCTAACAGATGGTATAAGTGTTCTAGGTTAAGCATCATGCTGGTGTCAAAGCCATTCTGTCAAGACGCAATCATGATTATCTTCGGGTAGATTAGCCTCACCACACAAGGCCAAGGTGCTTTCTGGTGTGTATTCTGTTGCAACAATTTCAGTAGTCAAAGTGAACACTACCAAATTGTTTACTCACCTCAGTAAATCACTAGAGTTCATCACTAACTATAGAAATCCCGTACATTATGGGATTGATTATGTATTATTGTATAATTGATTGTGTACCTTATTTAGATTAGGAAAATTTCTTTCTTTTCCTAGATTAGGAGTTACCTTATATAGTTGTTCTATTGGATTTTATGCGCAATATTAAAGAGATGAAAACAAAAATCAACACAAGAATTTTACGTGGTTCGGCGGTATGCCTACGTCCACGAGAGCGAAGCGGAGATTTCTTTATTCAGTTTATAAGAATAGGGTTATAATATATTATTTATACTAACCCTAGCCTGTGCCCATATAAGACTTGAAGGCCCGTACAGAAAATACCTCTGTACCGTATCGCGGGGGCGTTGCCCCTGCACCCCCAATCCATTCAGCGTCCCTAACAACTAGACAGTGAATTAAACCCGCGCAAGACCGATGTCGTCGCTCCGCTCTATTCCGTTTGATGTGCTCCGCTCCTTACTCCACTCTGCTCCGCGCCGACATCGGCCCATTTGATCCAGGGCCTGCGTTCCACTCTATATGAGCCACACGCACAACAATCTTCACCTTGGCGAATATTCACCCCTTAGGAGAAAAAACATAACCTGAAAAAAAACCACACCATCTAGGACCAATGAGTTGGGACACATCCTCTCTAACAGCTAGAGTTGTTAATCAAGTTCAAGCAATGTTTGAACCTATCTATTGTGATCGGCTTTGCCATCATGTCTGCTGCGTTCTCTGAGGTATGCACCTTCTCTAACAACAACTCTCCTGAAGTAACCAACTCTCTTATTTTATGAAATCTCACATCAATGTGCTTGGTTCTTGCATGATAAATATGATTCTTAGTTAGGAAGATGGCGCTTTGACTATCACAGTACAGCTTCATTCTATCTTGCTTGATCCCAAGTTCCCTGACAAGCCCTTTCAACCACAATAATTCCTTAGCTGCCTCAGTTGCCGCCATGTACTCTGCTTCAGTTGTAGATAATGCCACAAGTGATTGCACCATTGACCTCCAACATATGGGCTCTCCTGCGAGTGTGAAAACATAACCTGTATGGGACCTTCTGTCATCCAAGTCTCCTGCATAATCTGCATCTACATATCCTTGAATTGAAATATCACCATGTTGTCTCTCAAACATGATCACGCACTCCATTGTACCTTTCAGGTACTTAAAAATCCATTTTACAACTCTCCAATGCTCTCTACCAGGATTAGCCATATACTTACTAATCACACTGACTGCATATGCTAAATTTGGTCTGGTACACACCATTGCATACATCAAACATCCAACTGCGCTGGCATAAGGTACCTTTGAAATCTCTGCAACATCTTCTTCACTCTTTGGGCACTGATTATTAGATAATCAGAAGTGATTTGCAAGTGGTGTGGCAACTGATTTTGCATCTAACATGCTAAACCTCTCTAACACTTTCTTCAAATAGTTTTTTTGAGACACCCATAATTTTTTGGCTTTCCTATCTCTGTTGATCTCCATGCCAAGAATTTTCTTAGCCGGTCCCGAGTCTTTCATATCAAACTTACTGCTCAACAAAGATTTCAATTTGTCTACCTCATCCATGTTCTTGGTAGCAATTAACATCTCGTCCACATACAACATCAAGAAAATATATGAGTTATCCTCAAGAATTCTGTAGTATACGCAACAATCATACTCACAACGACTGTAGCCAATCTGAATCATATGAGAGTCAAACTTCTTGTACCATTGTCGTGGAGACTGCTTAAGCCCGTATAAAGACTTCTTCAGTTTACACACAAGATTCTCTATTCCTGGTTCCAAAAATCCTTCTGGCTGCTTCATGAAAATTTCTTCCTCCAAATCACCATGAAGGAAAGCAGTCTTCACATCTAGCTGTTCTAACTCCAAATCAAAATTAGCCACCATTGCCAAAACAATCCTGATGGAAGTGTGTCTAACGACTGGAGAGAAAATTTCATCATAATCTACTTCCTTCCTCTGTGGGTATCCCTTTGCTACTAATCGAGCCTTGTATCTTTCTCCTTCCTTTTCTGACATTGCTTCTTTCTTTCTATACACCCACTTACACCCTATCTGTTTCTTCCCTTCTGGAAGCTCCACCAAATCTCGAGTATCATTTTTATGCAGTGACTCAATTTCCTCCGTCATAGCCTCTATCCATTTACCTTTCTTCTGACTACCAATGGCATCTTGAAAAGTTATAGGATCGCTATTGCTGGTAATGAGTGCATAAGAAATCGAATCCTCAAATTCATACTTTGCTGGTGGTTTGGTAGTGCGACGTGGTCTAAGGCAACACTATGATACTGCTCCACCTCTGTCCCAAAACTATCTGCTCCCTGAGCATTAATTTCTGTGTTTACATTGTCTAGCTCTACTTGCACCACTTGGCTCTTACCTCTGCCCTTGTCTGAATTGAGCTTCTATTTATCTGTAGAAGCTTTAAGCATGAATGCTTCATCAACTACTGCATCCCTACTTATCACCATCTTCCTTGCTTCTGGATCCCAAAACTTGTATCCCTTTACACCTTTAACATAGCCCAGAAAAATGCATTTTCTTGATTTCGGATCAAGTTTGGATCGCTGATCACTAGATACATGCACATACGCCGGACAACCAAATACTCTCAATTCAGAATAATCAACTTCATTACTTGTCCAAACTTACTTTGCAACTTTCCCATCTAGTGCTGCTCGTGGTGATCTGTTTATGACATAACATGCCATGTTCACTGCTTCTGCCCAAAAACTCTTCGAGAGCCTTGCATTCAGGCTCAAACGTCTTGCCCGTTCTGCAATTGTTCTGTTCATCCTTTCTGCAACACCATTCTGTTGCGGTGTCTTGCGAACTGTATAGTGCCGTTGAATATCATGCTCCTCACAAAATCTCAGAAACTGTGAATCTGTATATTCTGTACCGTTATCTGTCATCAGATACTTAATTTTTCTACTCATCTGGTTCTCTACTTCTACTTTCCATAATTTGAACTTGGCAAAGGCTTCAGACTTGTGCTTCATGAAATATACCCAAATTTTTCTAGAGAAGTCATCAATGAAAGTAATAAAATACTGAGATCCACCTTTGACTGGTCCCCAAACATCTGAGTGCACGTAGTCAAGAATTTCCTCTGTCTTGTGCTTTCCCATCTTGAACTGTACTTTGGACTGCTTTCCAAGTACATAGAACTTGCAAAAATTCAGCTTGCATGATTTTACCCCCTTCAATAAATTCCTCTTGTGAAGCTCAATCATGCCACGTTCTCCTATATGCCCCAGTCGCATATGCCATAGAAGAGTGTCATTTGACTCAGATTCTGCTATAGCAACTCCACTTACAACTGTATCCCCGAGTAGTTTGTAGATATTCCCTACTAATTTCTGACCCTTCATCACAATCATAGCTCCTTTCTTCACTGTTAGAGCCCCACACTCTGACTTATAAGAGTAACCATTTGTGTCTAAAGTGCCTAAAGAAATTAGATTCTTTTTCAATTCAGGTACATGCCTAATATTTTTCAAGATCCTTATCACACCATCGAACATTTTAAATTTTATGGATTCCATTCCAATGACCTTACATGATGCATCATTACCCATCAGAACAGATCCAAAATTACCAAAACGATATGAATGAAACCAATCCCGATGAGGACACATGTGATATGAACAGGCTGAATCAAGTACCCAACAGTCATTTAATTTTACAATTACCTGCAGAGACTGATAACATGTCTCCATCTCCAGAATCCGAGTCTCCTTCTGCAACACTAGCTGAGTTTGAGGACCCATCAGCTTTCCTTTCATCACTCTGCTTCTTATTGGGACGGTCTCTCTTAAAGTGGCCCATCTGATGGCATTTGTAGCACTTGACGTTTTTCTTATTTTGATTCCTAGATTTTGATCTTGTGTTCCCTCTAAAAGAAACACCCCTGTCCTTCCTTCTTCCACGATCCTGGTAGCCCTTTACAATCAACCCTTCACCCTGTGAAGTTTCACCAGTACGCAGTTTTCGCTGGTTGTAGGCTAACAGGGCTGACGTGACTTCCTCCAATTCGAGAGTCTCTTTACCCCACGTCAACGTGGTCACCAGATGGTCGTACGAAGGAGGAAGTGAGCACAACAAAATCATTGCCTTGTCTTCATCATCAAACTTGATTTCAAGTCGCAATAGATCGCTGATGATTTGATTGAACACATTGATGTGTTGAATCAGATCCGTACCCTCCAACATCTTCAGCCTGTACAGTCGCTGTTTTAGATGCAGCTTGTTCATGAGAGACTTTGACATATAACGACTCCAATTTCTCCCAAACCTCCGTCGGAGACTCAACGTCCATGACGTGATACATGATTTCGTCCGCCAAACAAAGCCGAATTGTACCAACTGCTCGCGCCTCAAGCTCTTCCCAATCGGCATCTGACGTACCCTCTGGTTTCTTCCCAGATAGTGCCTTCACCATCCCTTGCTGCGCCAACAAATCCTTCACCCTTCGCTGCTATAATCCGAAATTCCCAGATCTGTCCAATGTGCTCCGCTCCTCTCACTCCGCTCCGCGTCGACATCGGTCTATTTGATCCAGGGCTTCCACTCTATATGAGCCACATGCACAACATGTTCTTTGTATTATAAATTGAGCCCTTATGATTGTAACAATTAAAAGAGAAAATAATATAATTTTCCTTCCTACTACAGCCCGTTCTCTACATGGTATCAGAGCAACGGTCCTCCTAACCTAGCTGTCTACAGTCAATGGCAGGGAACAACGACCAATCGACAACTTTAGAGCTTCTAAACAGTGAAGGAGAATCTCTCCCCACCATGGGCTCGGGAGGCCAAGATAATTCATCTTTCCAACTTACTATGGAGAAATTGAACGGGAAGAATTATCGGGAGTGGGCTCAATCTATTAAACTCATTATCGACGAGAAAGGGAAGTTAGTCTATCTTATCGGAGAAAAGAAAAACCTGCCTCAACCGCCACTACCCTTCTGGAGAGTGGAGGTCGGAAAATTCAATGGTGACTGCGTGGCTAGTCAACTCCATGAAACCCGCAATTGGTAAAACGTATCTCTTCCTGCCAACGGCAAAGGACGTGTGGGATGCAGTGCGTGACATTTATTCGGATTCTGAGGACTCGTCCCAAATTTTTGAAATTAGAACAAGGCTGTGGCAAACGAAACAAAAAGGAAGGGAAGTAACTGAATATTACCTGGAAATGAGTTCTCTCTGGCAAGAACTCGACCAAAATACTAAAGAAGAATGGGATTGTCCGGCCGATAGCGTACGGTGCAAAACTAAATTGGAGAATGAGAGGGTTTACGAATTTCTGGCTAGACTGGATCGTGACCTCGACGACGTGAGGGGCAGAATCTTAAGTCAACGACCCTTGCCGTCGTCGCATGAGGCGTTCGCCGAGGTACGTCCAGAAGGAAACCGGAGAAATGTAATGTTGAAGGAAGGAAGAAGAAGCGGGCTTGAAGAAGAGTCGAGTCTGTGTTGCTTTCTAAAGGAATTGGGCCAAACGGGCCGGCCCAGCCACATAGAAAAACTGGGCCATTTTATTCTCTTAAAGGGCCTGTGACAATTGGATCCAAATGGAATGGGTCAACTGAAATGGGCTCACAATTCAAAGGGACACCTACAATTGGGCCTGGCTTAAAACAAAAGGGACGTCCTTGGTGTGACCACTGTTGTAAATCAGGGCATAAAGAAGATACTTGTTGGGACTTGCATGTGAAGCCATCAGATTGGGAATTCAGACAAAACAACAGGAATCGTGGATACCAAGCATGTGTAGATCCGATCGATGAAAACAATAATTCCACTCCAAGCAGTACATTTAACCCCGAACAATTGAAGCAACTCTATAAAATGTTTTCAAGTTTCCAATCATCTGCCCCTGCAAGCTCACTTGCTCACAAAGGTAATTTTCTGAGAGCATTACATACAATCACTTGTTTGAAAGCTCCTTGGATTATTGACTCGGGCGCATCCTATCACATGACGTACTTCTATTATCTTTTTTCTACATACTCCACTTATGATGGCAATATCAAAGTTAAAATTGCAGACCGCTCACTCTCACCTGTAGCTGGAATTCAATAACACTTGAGCCTGTTCTTCATGTTCCCAACTTATCCTACAACTTTCTGTCAATTAGTCAATTAACGAAAAACTCGAACTGCTCGGCTAAATTTCTTCGATCTTATTGTATTTTTCAGGACCTATCATTTGGGAAGACGATTGGCAGTGTTAAGGAATGTGAGAGACTTTACTACTTTGAAGAAGCGGATGTGAGTCAACTAAATCAAATTGCAACTTGTGATTCTGTTCTTATTCCTAGAGATAGCGAACTTCTATTATGACATTTTAGAATAGGTCATACTAATTTACAATATCTACGACATGTATTTTCTTCCGAGTTTTCAATTAAAAATTCCTTTGATCTTCAGTGTGAGCATTGTGAGCTGGCAAAACATCATCGTTCTTCATTCCCGAAATCAACATACAAACCAACGAAACCGTTTACCTTGATTTAGAGTATTTGGTTGCACTACTTTCGTCCATATACATAACCATCATTGGGGAAAACTTGACCCTCGTTCCCTTAAATGTGTACTCATTGGATACTCTTCTACTCAGAAAGGATACAAATGTTATGATTCATCTACAAGAAAATTATTTGTTACCCTTGATGTCACGTTCTTCGAACGAACGCTCTACTTCAAAAACCCCTATCTTCAGGGGAGAATTCAAGTGAAGATAGGGTAAGGAAAGATATCTTCGGCTTTGATCTCTCTCCTATTGAACTAATTATACACACACCAACTTGTCCGAACTTGCCATTTACAAAAGGAAACTTAAACTTATGTGAAGATACAGGAAAGCAAGTTGACAAGGAGATTTGGTTTATTCAAGAAAGCCAAAGTCAACGTATAAGGAGAACCTCACATCCGAAGCACCAAAAGAGTTGGAACTGATGACTCCTCCAGTTAACATCGAGTCTTCAGGAAATGATCTACCTATTGCTCTCAGAAAACAACCTCGGTCATGTACTTTTCACCCTATTTCAAAATTTGTATCCTATAACACCCTTTCTGCAGGATTTCGTGTTTTTTCTTCTAACCTTGACAGTACAAAAATTCCAAACAATATCCAGGAAGCCATGGCTATTCCCAAATGGAAAGAAGCTGTTTTGGAAGAAATGCGAGCATTGGACAAAAATAAACCTTGGGATGTGGTAGAGTTACCAAAAGGAAAAAAACCTGTTGGTTGCAAATGGGTCTTCAATGTGAAATACAAAGCAGATGGGACTATAGAAAGATACAAAGCTCGCCTGGTTGCAAAAGGATATACACAGACCTATGGCAACAACTACACAGAAACATTTGTTCCGGTAGCAAAATTGAATACCATCCGGGCAATCTTATCCATAGCAGCAAATTTGGACCGGCCTTTCTAACAACTCGACATTAAAAACGCATTCTTGAATGGAGAATTAGAAGAAGTTTTCACGACATTACCTCCAGGTTTCTCTAGAAGGGGTGAAGAAAACAAAGTGTGCAAACTCAGAAGATAGGGCTACCAAGAAACAGAAACGTTCTATGCGAAGTAGGATAGATGGTGCTTTACCTGAGAAAACCTTAAAAGGCTTGAAGCAGTAGGTGGTGAACCAGCTGAAAATAAGGAAGCCCTGGAGCGGCGAAGACACAAACATGAAAAGAAAAAGAATCGGATCGCAAGATCTAACTAAACAATCCAAAGAAGACAGTAATCCAAGGAAAAGAGGTAAAAATAATAATGATCCATTGGGAAGAGATGTAGTCGATAAACTCGATATGTTGATCGAACAATATAGATCCAAATTTACGTAGACCAATTCTAATCCAACCGATGTTGACAAGAAGCAAGGCTCCAAGCAGCAGCTCAAGAGGTGGTTCCAATGATAATTTTGTCTTAAAAGTCATAAAAGATCCTAGTGTGTTTGTTTCTTGGTACTTTAAGCTGACATGTACGCCTTGATCTTTTTCTCCGGAAAGGATCAATTGAAACCCTCTAATGGTTTCAACTAGACCAACATATTTCTTTGGAGAATCGGTAAATACTTTTGCGCAGAGAATTGAACCAATAATTTTCTTTCTTCATCATCAATCGAATCACTGTTCGCGACCTAGGATTCTATTTTATCATCAATCCAATACCTGTTCACGTTTTTTCTTTTTCTTATTTTTCCCTTCGAAAATTTTGTTTTAATCTCACATTCAAATTTTTTGGGGTTTTTTTAACCGATCATAGTGTTTTTATCCCCTCGTCTAAGATGCACATTTAACAGTTGGAACGAATCAGTTTGGCAATAATGTAACAAGTGAAATTTAACAGCCTCCATACAAATGGCATATTCGTTTTGTTAAATTGGTCAAAACATAAACATGCTTAAACATCCCACGATAGTTAGAGATGGCAATGGAGCAAGTGGGTCGAGGCGGCCCTTTATGTTCTACTGCCCTGTTGTCGATTTTTGGGAGGTGGAGTGGGACTAAAATATTCGCATTTTTCGATCAGTTTACTTATTTGTTATATTCTTTAATACAGTCAAGATGGGAACATAGTCCCCTCTTCGACACCGACAGGAGCAAAACATTTTGTCATTCTTATGGAGCTTGTTTGGAATAATATATTATACGGAATTCACTTCTCTCCACCTTTTGTTGATACATTCTTCAAAAAAATTATTTTTCACTTGTAAAATCTTCGTCAAACAAGCTCTTGATAGTGGGAGACCAGATTTTGTTGATTTCTTTTTGCAATAATAATTTTTATTTTAAATTATATATATATGCACTCTTCTTCCTTTTTTTTTTTTTTTTTAAAATATTCAGGTATCCACCTTACAGTGACTAAATTCTGGAGTCTACACCTTGGCTTCTCAAGCTGCAGATAGGTTAAACCGCATGTTGTGTTCCAAATTGACCAGTGCTCAAGAGCCCCCCAACTGATCTGCCAAAGTGCCAAGCAAGTCGTTTCCCATCTTTGCACCTTGTCTTCCAGGATAAATCCTGCCTTTCAGGAGAACATTTGCCTTCCAAGAATCTTTAAGGAATCGAATTTACGACCTCTAATCTGTCAGCCTTGAAGCGCCTTCATCTTTGCCAGTTGAGATGTGCCCTGGGGGGGCTATGCACTCTTCTTTTTGTAAGTATTGAAGTAGGTTTGAGCAATAATATATACACGTATATGTATCTTCTTTTTGAGCTCTATTTTTGAGAATTTATTATACATTTTCCAATAAAATAGTTTCGTATATGAACATAAAATTTTTCACACATTTTAATCACATGTTCTGCAAAAAAATTAAAATAAAATAAAATAAAATAAAATCACTTTTTACAAAATTTAATATTGAAAAATGGGTCAACCAGTATTCGCAAATCAAAGTATCTAATAAAAATGAAATTACCAAAATCTTGTAACGAGTTGACTCTTGGAGAAGGGGTCAGCAGATGGCCTTAGCTCCCAAGTAAATATAAAATAACAAGTAAATATAAAATGACATTCTTGCACAATACTACACTGAAGACTATTAATACATTAGTTACAAACCCATCGTCCTTCATCAATTATGCAAACAAGTCTAAAATAAAATAAAAGTTCTCATCAAACTCACAAAAAATAAAAATAAAAAGTCAATTACTCGAATGCAGAATGGGTTTAGTCGGAAGAGGTTTTGCAGTGGTGATAGGCATGATTGGTGGAGTTTACGTTGCACAAAGGTACGAGGTACCAAACATAAAAAATATGGTTGAAACTGCTGTTTGCAAGGCCAAGGTGGCGGAGGAAACCCACCGGAAACCTAACTACGACCCCGCATGCAAATACTGGAAGGCCAAGGTGGCGGAGGAGACCCACCGGGAACTGAACACCGCCACCACCGGCATACACTTGGAAGAATGATGTTATTTTTTCTACCGTTTAGTTGGTGTCTACTTTTCGCCTCTTTATCCTTTTTTTTTTAGTGTCTGTATAATGTATAATTTTATTGATTGTGAAATAAATTCAAATATATTGGCCCTGCTAGATTGAAATTTTGCGTAACTAGGAACTAAAATTACCACATTTAGGTTCTGTTTTATTAGCTAAAAATCAAATTTTTAGTAAATATTGATAAAATTTAATAAAATATATGATTAAAAAATTAATAAAAGTAGTGGATATCATAAAATATGTGATTAAAAATAATTTTGAGAAAAAAATAAAATTTAAAAAACTAGGACTAAACACTAGCTTAGTGCTTGTTTGAGCCCCATTTTTTTGGGCTACTAATGCATTTTGGAATAACTGATTGATGAAAAATGTGTGGTTAAAAAAAATTCATGATTTGCGTATAATATCATTTTATTGAATAATATATATTGAAATGAAGAGAGAGAGAGAAGTATATTTTAAAGATAAAGGAGATTAGACAAGGGCTCGATGAACTCTCTCAACTCTGCACCTAATGTGATTAACGTTCTTTACTTTCAAAAGTCTCATCAATCTATTAAAATATGTAAATTTGGATTGCAATGATTGAAAATATCGATGTAAAGTTAAATAACACGGATTTGAAGTTGAAGAATAAAACTATCAAATCACTCATATTTATCTCCGAAAAAGTCAGGGCAACATGCGGGGGGTCAAGTGGTGCCCCCTATTGGAGGGGGCTGAAATTTGCGTTTAATTTAAAATAATTTTGTCACATGACGGCCAAATTCACGTATTTAAATGGGTTTGAGAATATAAAACTAAACCTCGAAGGTTTCGACTCTTAACCACTCATGTTAAAAGTTAGAGAGCTCGGCCCTAATTTTCCCTAAATATCACATGATTACGTGAACTTCAATCTTTTCTAGCCAAATTTACTCATCTTTATCAAAGCTTTGTCCAACCCAAACATGAAATGGTTTTGACTTGTTCAAAGCCTTATCCAATCCAAACAATGTATCTTCTTGAAAGTTTATGACAATATCAAGTCAGTTGCGTGGACTTGATCCAAGTCATCTCAATAAAGAAATCCATTATTTTTCAAGAATTGCCAAGCACTAGCCTTGATCTTATTTAATTAATATTAATCCCAATATAATTTTTTTTTGAGTAGCACAAATAACAAACGGGAGTTGACGTTTGAACAAGAGGTTATGCAAAAAATGGCTTGGAAAGAACATCATTGTTCACCACCCAAGTATTATATATAATCACCATTCAAATATTCCACGATTAATCTTCGTTCAAACAAAAACCAGGAAATCCCAAAAAAGGAGGGGTAAAAAATAAAAATAAAAATTATTCTCTTTGAGGTACCCAGAATCCAATCCTATACAAGGAAATGGCTATAATCAGAAGAAGCTTTACATTCATGGTGGGTACATTTTTTGGGGTATACATTGCGCAGAATTATAATGTACCAAATGTCAAAAAAATGGTAAATGCTGGTTATGTGATGGCCAAGAAGATGGAGACATACCAGAAACCGATCAAAGGTGTTATGTGTCACTTGGGGGGCCCACAACCAACTCATACCGAACCGCGTGACACTCAAGTTGAGGTGATTTGCATAGCCAAAGCCCACAAATCGAGGTCCACAGAAGTCTAGGCCTATATATATAAAGGCCCATCTATCATTGCCTCTTGAGGAGCTTCCGAAACCCATATGCCGAGGCCCTTTGAAGGTGGACGAGACCCTGTTGGCCGAAGCTCTATAGCCGAGGTAGCAGCCTCCGAATCACAAAGCAGCATCTTCTATAGACTCTTTTTCCAAGAGATCATCTGCCCAAAGATCTTATTTGAATGATTGATAGGACGTCTGTTATGAGTGTAAATGTTTAGTCTTGTCACTAGTAGAGGTGGCTCTGCCAATCAATAAATGTATAGTAGGCTAGGTGCGGCTGATGCCTACAATTTAGCATGTGAATTAACCGGATGAGGCAACGTGTACCCCAAACCAAAGGTCATGATCGAACTTGTGACACTATAAATACTTCCTCATGTACCTCATACAAAGGCTAATGCAAAAATCAATACAAGAAACTATACTTTACTCAACTCTCTCTTTCTTATATTATCTTGCAACACAAACATATATATTTAGATACACATTTATAAACATCAATTGGTAATTATTGTATAATCGATCTACGAACATCCCGTCGAATTTCGAACGTTCTCGTCCCGCGCCGTTGAGCTACTCCCACGCCCTTGATCTGTCCGTTTTAGACCGTCCACGTGTCTTAGAGTGTTGGACCTTCGCTCATGTGTGCGCGGGTGGGTTCGGAATCTGTTGGCAATATTTTTTGGGGTCAATAGATTGGCGCCGTCTGTGAGAATCCATACAATAACTACGAACAACCTTGTGGTGAAAGCTTATTGAAGAGGAATATTTGGGCATCCCCATTTAAAAAGGATTCGTTCTTGAAAAAGAACAAGAGGAAGCCCCACAACTTAGCAAAAATCTGAAGGTCAAACAAAGAAAATGAGTTCAAACAAAGATACACCCCCCAGGAGGGTAAGAGAAAATGCAAGTGTGCCTCCTCCAGCAGGCACCGACTCCACCATCACCATAGAAGAGGTGGAATGTAAGTGACAGCCCAGCTATCAAGAGAAATGGCCACCTTGGCAGCCAACATGAGGGACATTACTAGCCAGAACATGGCTATGAGAGAACTCATGGCCTAAATGCAAGGCCAAGGAGGCTTCCCCATTCCTCCAAACGCCCCCAAGGGTACTACCAGCAAGAAGTTGAAGTTCAAAGTCAGAGGGTTGTCTCACCGTATTAAAGCCGAGGTAAAAGCCCATTTGAAAGGGAAGTGGAAGTTGGTGTTTCTTCTAACTACGCTTCTAGGCGACCCACCCAGGTCTCTTTGAACCATGATAATTTCCCACCTCCATATAAGCAAGAGCAAAGACATAGGAGGTCAGGTAATATATTTGACAGAATCAATTCTGCAGAATTGAGGCCTAGGCAACAACAGCATCGCGAGCCTTGGACAAGGCCACAGCCCCCATCTCCAATGCCTCAACAGTTGGAAGAAAGGCATGAAAATGGCCCCCCGTACTGCACCGACTCGAAATAGGCGTCAAAGGAGGTAAGAGGAGGCTAGGAACCGTCCCGACACCTCTCACCAACCATTAAGGTATGAGGCCGATGAAAACGATTCAAACGAGCAGCAGAGGTCCTGCGACTTGGACGATGATCATGAAAACCTGTCATTCTCAAGGGAACTAAGGAGTGCCCAGGTCCCGAACTACTATGTTATGCCCAAGATACCAAAGTATGATGCAAGAGGCAACCCAGAGAAGCACCTGAATGCTTACAAAACTCACATGAGCCTAAAGGGTGCCACCCTAGCTGTGAAATGCAGAGCTTTCCATTTAACACTTAGCAGAGCAATTGAAATTTGGTATAATAAGTTACCACCTGGAAGCATAAGAAGTTGACCCAAATTCAAGACCACATTCTTGAAGAGGTTCACTGTGAGCAAAGAGGGAGAGACTCTCATCCAACGTCTCCAAGATATGAGACAGGCACATAGAAAGTCCCTAAGGAGCTTCCTATCACGCTTCACTGATGAGATGACGTACTGTGTGCAAGTCACAGACCGTGAGGCGTTATCTGCACTGAGAGGAGGCCTGAACATGAACACCCTGTTTTGGAGAAACGTGCAAAATTAAGACTCCACCACCTATGACGCCCTACTCGAGATGATGAGATGGGAGATCATCAATGAAGAATTGATTGAGTATAAGAACAGGGCAAATAGAGGCCTCCCACCTCCGCAAAGACA